ATATTTCAAGCATATAGATGTTTAACATCTCCTTAAAATACACCAAAATGCAGGATATCACATCTACTTATTCAAAATTTTCTGGCGGAGTACTCCCAGACCCGCCAGCCCGCACGCTATTTGCCTTCCGGCATCGATCAATTTACAAATTAAGCCCTGTTACTTGGTGTGACTACTGCTGTTATGATTCTGTTCAGTTTTCTGTAATAATTTGAAGAAGTGGCAATACATTTATGTTCATTATGTGAATAGATAAAGTTTTAAAGTGATTTTTGATACTGTTAATTTTCTCAAAACTGTAATTTTTGGAAGTTGAAATTAAAATGTGTGTTAATTAACTGTGTCTTGAATGAAAAATACCCCATGTTTAAAAGTATAAAAATTGTATTAACACTATTAAAGAACAGGTCTTAAGTATTTATGTTGCACAAATATTTCCATTGCATTAAAGAGACAAAATGAAGAACATTATTTAATAAACATGAGGGTTGTGAGGGAGTCCCTGAAACTTTGTTTCCTCTGTAAGGGGTCCCTGAACCCAAATAGTTTGAGAACCCCTGTTGTAAAGCAGTAAACATTTCCAGTGGTTTGCACTTTTACATTAAGCACAACCGAGGAGACAGACTTAGGAGAGGTTCAAACTGTGTTGACTGAAGTGATCTCATCAATGACCAAAGGAATGTGCATAAGGAATCATGCAGACTTGTTAGGTCACTGTGTTTTATCACCTACACACACGGCTTCTGTGGTTGTTGCTTTAACTCGGGCTGTAAAAGCAGAAATCGAATCATTTAAATTTTTGATATGGACTCAGTGATTGACTTCAAACTAGACTTTTAGGTGTGTTTTTTTCATTAAACTGTGTGCTGTATTTCTAGATCAGAGGTGGACAACATTTTTTTTTCCAAAGGGCCATATCAAGATGTTGAAAGCAATCAAAGGGCCCCATAGAGAATTTAAAAATGTATATGTGTGTATATATATATTTATTTTTTATTTATTTATTTATTTTTTATGACAGACATAGAAGACCCTTTTCAGGCTTTCTCTAGCATAGTTAGCATGCTTTATACAACATGTCTTTCCAATATCCTTTAGGAATATGAGACATATGTGAAATGTTTCTTGTGACAATAAATTATGCACGTTAGCTTAGCATGATATACATGTTAGCAGAAATATGCAAAACAAACTTATATATTTGTGTTTCTAAGGTTCAGTCTAGTTCTGGAACACAATGACAAAAAATGTTTTTAAAAAAGTTTTGTGTAAGATGTTTAATTTAAATGTCCTTAAGTCTCATTGATAAGTTGCTGTTTTTTTTGTTTGTTTTTTTTAGTCTTTATTTAAAAAGTTGTGTGTTTTTTTTTTTTAAACTAAGGATATTGAGGGCCTGATGGAGATTGTCCAACGGCCACTTTTGGCCTTGGGGCCTTAAGTTGCCCACGTCTGTTCTAGATGATTGCCAGAGGACTTGTTTTTGCTTCTATGCTTTAGAATTGGACTTCACACAGTGTGGAAGACTCATTAAAGCCACGTAGTCAAATAATAATAATTTAAAACACTTTTTGATGTACTGTACCAGAAAGCCATGAATCATGACAGCTTCTAGTCCACCCCTGGGATTATCATAGGCAGCTTTTATCAGAAGACAGATTTCATTAACAAATATGTGATGTGTTAATGTGTTTGGTCATTCAGTAAGATGCCTGGAGACAACAGAGGTTAAACATTAATGACAATAATATAACTTCAGCAATGCAAGGTGTACCAGTTTAAACTAAGACAACAAAATGTGCAAAACAGTTGGTGAAACAGGCATTTAATGGCTCCTTTTTATTACTATTTTACATCTTAGTTTTACTTAAATAAATTAAAAATAAGTATTTTAAAGCATCTTCATTTGGTATTGTAAATATATATCTACACATCGAGAAGGTGTTTTTCACACTCCGACTCATCCCATCAGTTTAACGGTCACGCGCAACAAGTGAAGCATTTGGGACATCTTGTGTTTCACCAACAAATATTTATGAAGCAGGCAGCAAATATCAAGCACAGACCTTGATAAATCACTGTGCATGTTTCAGCTATTTTATTAAAAACACTATAATACACATATGCAGTCTCTTTTTTTTGTCTTGTGTAGTTGTAGCTTCTGTGTGTGTGTATGTGTGCGTGTGTAACGACTATCACAAGATCATCCCAGGTATCTGGTTGCCTTCTGTGTCATCATCGGCTACATTTCAACAAAGTGGGGGTTTTGCCGTTGGCGTCTCAGGTAGCAGAACCTGTGGATGGAGAGAGAGAATCAGAGAAATAAAAGAGAAGGAAGGAAAGAAAAGATTGGTTGAAAAGATGAATTAGGGATACATCGGTGTGTATTGTGTGTGGTGCGACGCCAGGTCAAGTCTGCAAACACAACTCATACACACACACACTCACAAAGGCAGTTGAGGCACACAAACACACACAGGTGTCTGAGGCTGAGGTAACTCTACACCTGCAAAGGAGGGTCTGTAGGCGTTCATGAAAGGCTTAACCATCTTAGGAAGTCAGTCAAAAGGGCAGAGAATGTGTGTGTGTTGGCGGGGTGGAGTGGGGGGGGCATATATATGTGTGTGTGTATACGTGTGTGTGCAAGTTCTGGAGAAACGCTGTGGGTGTTTTTGAAGTCATACCTGCAGGGAGATCAAGGTGAACTCTAGTATATGTGTGGGAGTGTTCAGTTTACAGACATTATGAACAAGGACAAAGAAGTAAAGTTCTATTTTGTGTAAAATTATCATTATTTAATGTTTTTACTTATGGTAATATCTTTATCAGTACTTTTTGCCAAGTTGTAGCTCATTAATACAACTCAAAAGTTTTGGGGTATATTATTTTAAATGCAATAATCCTCGACCATTGTTGACCCCAAAAATGTTAAAAATGGTGTGGAGTTGAAAGAGAAACTGCTGGCAACCATTAGCACAGATAATTTCACTAAAAACAGCTTAGCTTTTGTTGTGGTTTGTTTTTTTTCATTGACATTACATAGTTTTTTTGTTTGTTTTTTTAACACTGATTTTAGTAAAAAGGCATGTAAAACTAAAATGGTTTGTAAATCCACACCTAGGATTGATTATAAACCCGCATGTTGACACAAACAATTGATGCGTGTTTGTTTTTTCTTTATTTTTAAGGTGTTGGACCACTATGAGAGGGAAGGCTTCAGCTTTCTGTCCAATGTTTTTAATTCCTCCCACTCATTCCTGGAAGACCTAACAGGACTGACACTGTTGCACCAAGAGACGCAGGCTGCAGAGGTAAATTGCAACCCTGCGCATGCTAACACAAACCATCGGAGACGTTCATACACAAACTTTTTAAACATTATGATTTGATTTCAAGGCTTTGTCTCAAACTATGTTCAGGTGCACAGGCATAAATTACTCATGCTCATATCATTTAATCATGTATTAACAACTAGGGATGCACAATATTGGATTTTTGGCCAATGTCCAATATGCCAATATGTTAAAACTTATTTGCCCGATAACCAATACCAATACAGATTATTTTTTTTTAGACCTACTTACAAAGAGAGACTACATAGTCTCATATATAACTCTGTTGTGGAATTAAAATACTACATTATTCTGCATGGTGCTGGTTTTGTTTCTCCGTGGTTGATTGCTCTCTCGCTTTCCTTTCTGGCCACCATGAACTCATCGTAATGGTCAGAATGGCTATTTTTGAGATGGTTAATTAAGTTCGAAGTGTTGCAGGACTTAGTTTTCACTCCTCCTTGCATCACTGACGCTGAGCAGTCATTGCAAACTGCAATTCTGCTATCATTTTCCGACACTTTAAAAAACTTCCACACCGCCGACATTTTCACTTCTTTCTCTCCCATCATGATCAGATCAGGTAGGCACGCGTGACGTCATAACGTTGTGTTGGCGCTGCAGGCATCCCTGTCACTGGGTTGTCATGCAGTTATTTTGATGATGGCTGATGTCCGATATTTAAATTTATTGCTAATATTGGCCGATAATGCCAATAATATCGTTCATCCCTATTAACAACATATTATCATCATTGTCTCAAAAAAGTTGTTCAGCAAATTAATTTGAAGGATCTTCAAAGAACATCAGGTGAGACATTTACTCATGACCATAATAAATAAAAATACTAGTAAAATATAAACTCTAAGATATGAGGGCATCCTTTCCTTGCTGTTGTGTTTACATTTTGCACCTAGACTGCAAGCTTTATGCAGATGTTCCTTGCCTTGCTTCCTGTTTTGGTGTATTTTTGTAGGGGTGTTACAGCGCCACCTACAGGCCCGGCATAGTTACCACAGCATTTTGGGTTGTTTTAGGTGTTTCTGAGTAAATCAAGACATTTCTAGAAATTGTGGTGTTTTTATGAGGATAATTTTAGAACTGACAAAAAGAAAAGATAATTTTGGACAAAACATTTTCCATGTGGACAAGGCCCAAGTGTTACTGAGCAGACTATTCACAATTAAAGGTTCTTCATATGTTGTTATACAAATACAGAAGGCAGAGAAAATTACGACTTGAAGTTGATAGTTCACTTTATTTAATTCAACAGTAAACCAAAGTAAAAATATATTTTTTTAAATCCATCACAGAGAAATGTCTATTTTTCTGATTTGCCCATCTTTATGTAAATATTTAAGTTTGTGAGTTTTATTGCTAGTGCTGTTCATACTTTTACATTCCTTCTGGGTTTCCTCTTAAACAAGGTGCTAACAGATTCACTAAATATTGTTTGTGGTTTTCAAAAAGCTTGTTTTATATGTCAATAAAAAGTTAACTTAAAAAGATATGTCTATTTTTAACTGCTATGTGTATGCGCAACAAAATAGGTATTTGGCAATCAGAATAAAGAGCTCAAGCATCCAAAGTTTAGCCACAAAGCTGCACTGAAAATGATTCATTGAGGTGATTTGGGCATCCCATTTGGATGCTTCCCCAGCCAAGAAATTGTCAAATAAACGTTTTAAATCATAGTTAGAAAAAAAAGAAAACATTACTTATGGCTTTTCTTGCTTAGCTTCTTACAATCATGTCTGAAACCCAAATAAATGCACAGAAAATGTTTATCCAAATAGACCCTGCCATGCTCCAATGGGGATGAAGTTTTATGATCCTGGGAAGTGCTTTCAAAGTATTTCAAAACACAATGTTCTCTTCTGGGAGTTCATTTTTATGTATTTTTTCTTCAAACTACATGTTTGGAAGGAGTAATCAAATGTTTTTTTTAAAGCAGTAATACATTTGTCATGTAATCTTCAACTAATTGTTCTATAGGAGCACACAGTTTGTTTCTGTGGAGCAGCAAGAGGGATACAGTTTTGGTGATTTTCCAGAATATTCTGTGCTGGAATATGGGTGGTTTTCCTCAAGACTCCTTTTGACAGGAGCCAGAGGGAGTCGAGAGAGAAGCAGAACAAGGAAGAAACAGAAAATGGGAAAGTGTGGGTGGTGGGGGGGTTGGGTCTGGTCCTGCCCAGCTGTGGGAAAATCCCATTTACTTTCTCCACAACTCATTTTTATTTAACAAAAACAGAACAGAGCAAACCAAAGTTCCAAGCGTTGGACTGAAGTGAAGGAAAATGTTAAAGATCAGAGAGTTAGCATCAGAACAGAAAAGAGCTGGACAATTAAATCAGAAATGATTAATGGAAAAACTTTTTATTTTTTTTACTATCAGTATTCCCTTTAGTTCTCACCATTTTCTTTATCTCTTTGGTTCCTTCCTTCTCTACCCACCCCCTCTCGCCGACAGTGTGTTAAAGAGGCTGGCGTCAGTCCCTTTCTCTTCCATCAGAACACACAGATTGTTTTGATTGCTCAGCCCACTAGCGCCAGAAGTCCTAGTGCCCGTTTCCTCTATGCAGATTGCCTGTTTGAAAACCTACTGCACTTAGAGTGCCTCCTCTTAAGACTTTTTTCTCTTGCTCAGTTCCAGGAAGGGACAGTAGTGCTTTTCTCAAACATGAAAGTATAATATTTGAAATTTAATCTGTAAACCAACAAACAAATAAACAAAACCTTGTGGCTCATTCTAAGTCTTGTCCTAAAATTTCACAAGTGTTTGTCTAGTATATTAATAACACTAATAATTCTTAGTGTTAGGTGTACGGATGTACTGTAATTATATATTATATACAGATAAACATCCTTACTGGGTAAAATGTGTTACTACCAGTGGTGGCTTTTTAATTCAGTTCAGTTCAGTTTATTTACAGAGCGTCAAATCACAACAGGAGTCGTCTCAGGGCTCTGCACAAGAAACAATCATTACAAATACAAACTATTCATTTGTATGCATTTGTAACTGTTCATTTGATGAAATGAGGTTGATTTGTCCTCCAGTAGTCTAAGGTTATAGCAGCTGACTAACTATAGGATTTATCATAAAGGGAAGTCTTAAGCCCAGTCTTACAACTGGACAATGTGTCAGCTTCACGGACAGAAACTGGAAGTTGGTTCCACAAGAGAGGAACCTGATAACTGAAAGATCTTCCTCCCATTCTGCTTTTGGAAACTCTAGGAACTGCAAGTAAGCCTGCAGTCTTATAGCAAACCTCTGAGTTAGGAAAATGTGGAACAATAAGATATGTAATATAAGATGGAGCTAGGTTGTTGAGGGCTTTGTAGGTTAGAAGTAAGATTTTGAATTCTATTCTGAATTTGACAGTGAAGCTACTTACGTTTTAAATACTCTCTCTAGAAGCTATATATATATATATATATATATAAATCATGATGACAGTGACATAGAATTAAAGTGCACATAAATAACCATTTGCACTGGTAGTTTCTTATTACCTGTTTTTTATATATTAATAGTAAAGCAGGATTTATGACAGTCAAAGTTGGTGTTTCTGCTCATTCAAATGTACAACCATTCTAAGCTATAATCTACGTCATCAAATGTCACTACTATGTACTTAGTGCCTATTTTTGGTGAGTTTGTAACACGAGAAGTGCTTTTTATGTGGTCATCGTGGGATTTTGGGGCTGTTCAAGTTCTGTCAAATTTTAGACTGAGTGAAAGTTGTGCATGCGTCCTTGAATGTGTCTTTGAGTGTGAGTGTTCATAAGTCATGCACAAGCCCAAATGAATGGCTTCTTTGTGTAAGCAAACTCGCTAAGATTTCAAACTGTGGTGTGAGCACGGCGGGGTGGAAAATGTACTATGAATCTGCCGTCTGCCAAAGTAGTTACATGTATTTCAAACATTTTTATGCAGCGTGCTGCCTCCTAACCCCTCATGAGACCACGTTTTTAGCAAGAAATATTTACCATGTCTCATGTTAATTATTCATGACTGGATCTCTATTTGTACTAAAAAAAAGTTATATTGAATAACTTGGAATAAATCACTTTATAATGTCCAATGAATGTCTGCTTGTGAATGCTGTTAAGAGATGTCAGGTTCTGTTAGACCGACAAGATAAAAGTTAAATGAAAGTAGCATTCATCCAAGTTTTAAACAAATGTATTTATAATCTGTTAACACTAAAAGGTATGTGTTGGGATTAGCTACCACCACCAAATTTTAGCTTAATATCTTTAAATATTTGCACCATTTTTTTATTGTGAAGGTTGGTTTGTTCTAGTAGCCATCTTGAATTGAGTTACCTCCAGAAGTTAATCAGTTGTAGATGTTCATACGTACAGTGGTTACTTTCTAGGAGTTTCATTAAAATGTGTTCTGTGGTTCGTGAGATATTTTACCAAAAGGCCGAAAGACAGCTAGACACACACACACTCACACAATTATGACTGCCTGTTCTCCATGACTGTGGTTCAAACAAAAATGTTTGGAACTTTGATGAAAGTTTGTCTCGTAATATTTTGCTTTTGTTATTTATTTGTGACTGTTTCTTTCTTATAAATGTAACATTCATCCCTAAACTCTATAGTTAGAGGTTTGAAGCACTGTTGAAAATTGTCTCTGGATGTTTTAATCTTCTGTGTTGGTCACAGCTTGTTGTCTTAATTGTTGTTTTCTTGCATGCAACTGGAAGATGGTCAAGTACTAACTTGGTCTGGGAAGTTCTTGTTCCTCTTCATTTACACATAAAGAAAGATTACTGGAATTCTACCAGTTTGGAGGCTAAAGAGACATTTCTTCTGCTTTGCATTACCCCCAGATGATATTACATACGAATTTGAAAATAGATGAGTATTTTATATGTGTGAAAAAAGTGAATTTGCCAATATTTTAGCATTATGTATTGAATATATAAGATAGAAGTGGCAAACTTAAAGTTTGTGTTCTT